TGGGAGGAGGATATAATGTCTGCAGTTAATTTGATTTTATAACAAGCTTTTAAACTGGGTAAGGGGAACCTTTAGGCATAAGAACGTAATTGTAATATTCAAAATCAAGTACACTTTTTTGTTTTTAAGTTTATACTCTTGCTGTTTAGATGAAAAAGACACAGATATAAGGTTTCCACCATTACGTACGTAGAGCGAGTTAAAAGTCAATTGATAGCTAGCGTCATTCAAAGTAATAACTTAAATGTATAGGGAAATAGCCAGGAGCTATATTTTAATTTTATTTTGATTAATAAAGTTAATTGGTTAAGTGTCTTTCGAGTACCTGTTTGCTGTTAAATACAAATTTACACAATGCACTATCTGTGATCTGCTCACCTCAAGTGTATGCTCTCAGACTCGCCGCCGAGCCAATAATGGTGGTTTATGGGAGTTAACATTATTATTTTTCCTAAAAAAGCTTCCAAATAAGAATTAGCATTTTCTAGTTATGCAGTCCCCACTAGCTCAGCGGTAGGTTTGCAGACTAACGATGCAAAAATTCGGATTTCGATACCCGTGTGGGCAGAACACGAAAGCCAATTTTGTAGCTTCGTATTTACAACAAACAAATTTAGTTATGGAGAAAATGATGTTGGTATCGTTTTTTAGCGCAAAGCTACAGAATAGGTTAATTGAGTTGTGTCCGCCACGAGGAATTGAACTCAAAATTTTAGCATTGTAAGTCCCCACTAGGGAAAATAAAGAAAAACAATGACATTTCTTTTACGTTAAAAGTCACAAATATGGTTTTTCGTTTGTTATTTTTTAATTACTGAATGCGGTTCGCTTTTGTGAGTAAAGAGTAAGATTTGTGTTTTAATTTCGTAGTTAAAAATATTTCAACATTTAAAGGGATCCATTTGCTTGTGTGTGTTTCACTTAATAAAACGTTTGTTCGAATTTTTTTCGTTAATATATATTATATAAAGTCCAATTTCTACCAAAATCAACTAGATTATCAGGTGATCCCTAAGCCAGTGTATGGAATGACTAAGGTTACCAAGTTATTCACCAAGGCCATCTTCAATGATTAGTGCATATTCCAACAATCAAATTAAATAATTTTATAGTTTCCACATATTTCTTCAAATATAATGTTTAGTATTATGGCTTGAATGCGTTTTCTGATCGGCCGAAACGTGATTATATTTAATTATACTTACCAGAAGACATTAATTTTAGGTATAATTATATTTTTAACACTATATTCTTTATTTACCATCTTATGTTTTTTCACCTGTTTTAACCAATCCCACTAGTATACAGTAATGTGTTGTCTGTCTGTTAGTCAGTAGATACTAAAATGACGTCACATAAGGGACGCTTAATGTGCAATTTGTACTGTCGTGACATCAGTAAGACGTGCACATGCCATGAATCACGAGAAGAATTATGCACTCTGTAGGCTACAACATAGCATGACATATGAAGTTCGAAAGCAATAAATAAAAGATTTGTTACTTTTAATGTTGGTTTTACTTACTCTTGAAACAGAATACTTTCGGGGACCCTGCGGAAGTACACCTACTATATCACCCACACTATGCTCGTCATATCCATTACCAACGACGCATTTTTCCCAGTAAAGGACGACTGGGACACAATAAACAGTGTAATGGATGGAACATTTTAATCCATTTGTTACAACAACTGTTATGGTCTGAACGCTTTCTAATCTGGCGAAGCAGGGTTACAATTAATTATACTTTTCGCCAGACATTAGTATTAGGCCTATTATATTTCTAATCCTCTATTTTTTCAATCATTCTTTTAGGTTTTTTCAATGATTTAAGTGCATAATAGTATTTCAATCACTCTACGTTCACCATGTATATTAGTGACGACGGGTATCGCTCAATACAAAGCTCGTCAGGCTGAATAACTTACAATAAGAAATTAGTACCATCAGTGCTAAATATGCTCGAAATTCCTATGGAAATATGGTAGAAATAAAAGATATTTCAAAACACCATACATATAATATACACTCCGCCACTATATTATTGCAAGTTATATTTTCAATGTTGTAATTTGCTTGTTTGCTGAAGGGAGATGTGGGTCGTAAATGATGATGTTTAGACTTAGGAAGTTCTAAAAGTTTTGTCGTCGGAGGTTAAGTTATAAATACGCGGTTCAGTGAAACATCGAGAAGATAGTAGAGTGAATCAATCAGTGTTCTTGTTTACAGTAGTCGCTCAGCCATAAAGTTATACAGGTAAGTTTATTATTTTATGTTAGTGTAGAACAGTTAGCGTGATAATTACGTTGGTACGATATTTGTAAACGAAGTCTACGTGTTACAAAATGTACAATCCTGTAAAATAATTTAGCGAAAAACTAAACTAATTCTTTACCGTTACGTGGAATGGGCTTTGAATTATTTTCACCATACAATTTAAAATAACCTTCCAACAAAAACAAACTGTTACAACGATGTGAAAACTAGTCTTATTTTCCTTTATCCAAGTTCACTGATGATGGGTAGAATTCCCCGAAATAGGTATAACTCAGTAACAAGTGGTAAACTGAGTAATAAATCGGACTACACATTTATCTTTTAATTATAGATATTTTCTAGGAATATTGTTTTAAGGGTCAAATTTATTTCATGAGCACACCGTATGCAGTCAGTATTATATAATGTGCATCTCGTAGACGTCAGCATCATTTCATAACACCTGATGTTGCAAACGGCACATTGTAAACAGCAAACGTTACGTAATAGAAATAGATTCACCACATCATTAGTCCGAATAATTCAGTCGTTATATTCCGCAAGTTTTCACTCGCAACATGAACAAATAGATCTTAATGAAATAAGTGTGAACTGAGTTATCAGATCGCCATCTTTTTTTCACGATTTCATTTGATAGCTGGGTTCAGTTATTCGTACTTTTTATAATTATACATAACTATTAATCATTTGAACAAAAAACAAAAACTAACAAACTGGGCCAGTAGTGTTACTGGAAACACAATTTAGGTTTATGGCTTAATAAAGAGGTGCATATGTCAGAAGTCAATCGATGTTCTAATTTAGTCGAGGAAAACGTTAAGGAAAGTCAATAAAAAAAAACATTCTTGTAATTACACACATTATGCCCGATTAAAAGTGATTTATATTATGTAAAAAGCAATTCAAATTGGTAGTCTTTAAAATATATCACGAAATGTTTCCTGCTTCTTTCAAACGATCTAAGCTACCTCCATTTAATGTTCCCTTTAATTTTTTCATGCGCACCAGTATCAAGGCAAAGTGCGCTACGAGTCTTTGTTTTTTGGACCATCGACCCTATTGTATCATTAGGCCGTTTTGCGATGCTACCAGCTGATTATTTGGGCTTTAGGCCTATCGACTACCAGGGTCATTAAGGCCGTCAAAATGTTGAGACGCCTCACTTAGAGAGAATACTGCCTCCATAATGTTATCTCATAATACACCACTGTTATTTTTTTTTATTGTTTTAATGAGTTTCAAGTCAACTTTGTGAAACAATTTTATATTTGTAATTGCAAACGCTATATAAAGGCAATATATAAGGTAGTGTATGCCTAGTGTCACTTTGACTCCAAACAAGCTTTACATGGTTAGTGAATTCGGACTTCTATTTATCGTCAGTAATTACATGATAATAAGTGATACATTTTAGATAAATCGACGACAGAACTCTCTTGTTACATCAGAAATGAGCTTCAGATAATTGTTAGAATGGTGGAGGCGCTTTAATTAAGGTTTATTATAATGTCCAAGAATAACTGTGGTCAAGGACAGTCTTTGTCCTTCGTTAATATAGTTAACACATAATATAATACAACTGTTGCTTGGCGGATGTTTTCTTCTTAATTTACATTATATAAGAGACCTGTTCATAGGTGTCTCTTTCTTGAGTTGCAAATTTGTATCAGGCAGGCCTCTCAAGTACCAAAAGTGTTAATTTTGTGTACCTTATAAGTGAGCTTACGAATTTGGCTCAACTAGCATCATACAGACTCCTGGGCACAAGAAGTATCAATTTTACATCTCTCATATGTGGACTTTTCGTGATTTACGTCTGGTGGACCTCTAGGGCAGTCACCTTACATATAAGCACCACACTGTATAGAAAGTAATAAAATTTTGGATACTCTTCCTACATAGCACACCACTCTTTTTAATAAGACCCAGGATCAGATCCCAGCCCCTATCACCATTTCTATGCTAGGATAACAGTGTGTGTTATCAGTTACGTGTATGTAGAAAGCCACTTTGATCTCTCCTTTTCTCCTGAATGATTTCACATCCCATTGTCATTTTCTTTGGCGTGATGGGATATTGCATACAGATCAGTATTACACTTTTGTATGCCTATTATGCTCCTGAATTCTAACTTTTGTTGGCCATTTTGTTTCTCCACTGTTCTTTATATTTATATAATTATAGGATAATCGATATAGTTTAAAATTAAATGCTGGCAATAAATCATCAAATTTGGATATTATGTTTATTTCTATGTTAAGAACATGTTATGAAGTATAAAGAAGTCACAAGACGTTATAATATCTTATGATGAATACTGACCAAATAAAATATATCTTCAAGTTGTAACTTAACATGATTTTAAACATTATCTTTATTGTTGAAGAAATGTCTATATAAGCAAAAGCTTTCTTGATGTTTTAAACATCTGGATAAATTCTAATTTATTGATATTTAAAGCTTTTTATGAATTCACTTGAAACATTCATTATTCTGACACCAGTACACTATTCTTTGAAACATTTACAAAGAAGCTTTTCTTTTTCAATCAGAATGCATTTTATAGCAAGGAATATAGACTTAGTGAGGTTCTCTTATTTTAACCAACAAAAATTTTTTTTTAACCTTAGTAATGGTTAACAAGTGGTCATTAGTATCTTTAACAATGATTTTTTTTTAGATGACACCTTGCACTTAACCACACATTCACACTGAAAAATAATTAAGTTGAGCAACAGTTTTAAGAAAAATGGCACTGTTTATTTCTTTTCACTCTCAAAAATGTATATAACATACTGAAGATATGTGCTTACAAACAATAGACAGAACACAGACCCAATGAATTACATTTAAAAAATAAAAAACAAAAGTGCTATTGGAGCAAAAGAGGAGAACAATGACAGATTATTTCACAACACCGATCCAAAAACAAATACACTACAAAAGAAAAAAAAGAGCAAGCACATGTAACCACGAAATATATGCATTTTATAATGGCTTATTCTTCCTACAGTACAGATGTAATTTTATATATATAATTACTAGTTGCACTGCAACATGTTTCACATATGGTACAATGGGATCATAAGCTGCTTTACTGTGACAAGCTATAAAATCAAAAATATAACAATTTTAAAAAAGGCAAGCTAAATGTTTTTGTTTTGTTTTTTGCATAAAAGCTGCAATACAACATTAACGATGATTATAAATGAGCACTTGCATAAAGAAAACTTAATGTTTCACTTGTAAATGCATAACACAAAATATACAATGAAGAATTTCTTGTTCTACGTTGTTTCTTGTTGGCATTAACTTAAGTTTTAACAACATACTCTCTTATCAACAAGTAAGTTTGACATTAACAGATCTATCACTAATGTGCAAGCAATTTAAATTATGATTTGGATCTTCATTTTTAGGGTAATGTATTAGCACCTGTTTTTTTATAATAAAGTTTTAATAAGGGAGGTGTTTTTAATCCTACAGCTGATTTCACTTGAAGAAATAAGTGAATTACAAAACAGTCTCTTTAAAATACATCTTGATCTCTAGATTTTAAAAAAAAAAGAACTTTCCAAAACTTGCACTTAATAGAAATAAAACAGATACAACAAGCATAATAAAAGTTTTGATAAAGTCAACTTTGCAGAAGCACCACCATCTAGATCAACATATTTTTAAAACTAAAATTTCAGAAACCTGTTGTTCTTAACCCTAAAGGTAGTTATGAAAACATTTCCCAGTGATAAAATTTGTTTTCTTTATTAAGTACATTAAAAGAAGTTGCTGGAAAAAAATGAGAGATGTATCTTATTTTAAGTTTTTTAATAATGATGTACACTATACCATTGACTAAATAGTCTGTACAAGTAGAAAGTGCATCAGACAAACGTGACAATAAATCACCTCCACCTCTAAAAATGACACCTCACTGGCCTTTGCATGTGTGAGTTTTTACGAGTCAAGATAAGTACAAAACAACAGAGGTGCATCACTTTAACCAGTGAAATCACTGTAGGTAAAACAAAATATTACCAAAGAGAGAAGTTTTATCGACAGAGAAGAAAAAAGGTCGAGATACTTTCCCCCTTAATCTCAGTGAGTGAAAACTAAGTAGTGAGTGTCCTATAATTTATGGTATATATTTGAAAATACTAGATACCATAATGTTTATTCTTGTTTTTGACAGAAAAGGGAACATGTACAGGGTGAAAAGGATGTTTTATCTTGACCCAAACCCCATTTTACATTTAAAAGGAGTCACCAATTATTACTTTGGCCTTGAATAACCATGATAAAAAATAGAAAAACATCAGCTTCTTAAGCCTGGCTCTTTCTTTTCTCTGTGCATTTGAATATCAACACTTAAGCAGGTTTCAGTACAGGAATTTTCTTCATTTTCCAAAAATAAATCATTACTTAGTCCTAGCTATCCAGAGAAAGGATTACACATTAGCAACAATATATTTCCTCTTTTTATTTCTGATTCAATGGTTTTTGTAATCCGGCTTTTGTAATGATCAAATTACTGCTGCAATTGGAAGGAAGCGCTGAAATGTGTCCTCCAAGTCCATAGGCTGTGGGGGCCGTCGTGGCCCAAAAATTCTGTACAATCCACAGTCAACAAGCATATGCTACAATAAGAACTGTAATGTTTCAATATACTAGTTCTATTGCTGTGGATGTGTTGGAGGCAGTGGAGGCTGCGGTCCCTGGAGAAAGCAATTATAAACAATTAATAGCATACTATTGATAATTTAATATTTTACTCTTTTATTCCATGTACATACATGTAGAAAATAAGAAATAAAGGTAAAGGAACACCAATCATAATTATGAAGGATTATTTGGAAAAAATATTAATGTAATAAAATATTATATGTTTTGATCCCATATATAATAAGTAAAGTAAGAATACTTAACTAAATATGTTGCAAAAAGCAAAACCTTGTATTTGGAAAATGCCCAAATTTTACCTTTTTACAACATAAATTAATTTTAGGACAATACTTAATCCTGAAATATGAAATGCCTTTTCTTGTTGAGTTGCTTTTTTGCTGTCAACAACCATGCAACTTAAGATTCTGAATGCTCTTGAGATAATGTAGAACATGTGTCAACTTACCCACAATTCTCCATTCTCCTATCTTCACCACACAACATATTGTGCATGTATCTTTCCTGCTACAGTTCACATTTCTTAGCTGCAGTCACAATGGAAAAACACAAAAAGTCCTGTTTGTGGGAGGGGGGTGTACTTCAGGGGTAAGCCCCCTCCCCCTTTTAGGTTAGACCATTAGGGCATATTGCAGCTCTCAAAATGTTTTTTTTTCTAGACAAAAACAAAAAAATGGGTCTTCTTCTTTGACCTAGGACAATACAATTTGAACAATAAATAAGGTTAAGAAAAATAGAAATAAAGCAGTAAGTTGTACCTCATCCTGTATGGAGAATGACCTTGTTATGTCCAATGTCCTGAAGGCCAGGCAAGGATATACAGACAACTATGGAAAGGTATTTGCTGAGGCATCATCCTCTGTCAATTTCCAGATAGCATAATTATCTCATGCAGACCAGCAAGAATCCTGATTGGACAAATCCATTCAAGCACGAAATCTCATCTTATAAAAGAGAAACCATGATTTTTTTTTTCTTTTCATCAAATGATTGTTCTAGCCTGGATGCTCTTGCTGTACTTGTTAACAGGGATATTTGGCAATAGAGGTATAGCTGGGTTATCATGCACAACATACGTATAAACCAAAATTGTAACTAAGTAGGTGACAAGGAAGTACTTCTTATAGATTCCATTTGGCTTGAAGAATCACAAATGGAATCTCAGAGTTAAAGAGACAGCAGTGTATTCAGATTTCTCGAAATGTTAGCCTCTAAAAGGATACTGCAACTGAGACGCCAAAAACAGCACCAAACTCAAATTTTATGAGATATAACCTAAAATTTTCTTTTTGGGTTTTCAGGATCATGTAAATAACAGTGTTGCAGTTGAGACCAAGATCTTGTAATAGATTACACAATAAAAAATAAAGCAAGAAGAATAAAAATCACATGCATCAAATAAACTTTATTAACATCTTAACCACAAATCTTTTACACATCAACCCCACAATCTTTGTTTTAATGTCTCCTCCTATAAAAAAAATAAAAAAGAGCAGCAAATAAAACTAAAATTAGTATAGGTGTTAGTAAATTCTTTATGATCTTTGAAGCCAAACAGGATCACAGCATATCTACTAGACATTTTAAATATTGGAGATAATTGCTAGCATTTGATGTAAATACATGCACCAGGTGAAGTTCATACAAATCTGTAGTGAGCTTATGCGTAATGCAATGTATAGTACCAGTTAGTTTTGAATACATGTATCTTGAGTTATACAGAGGATTGGTGTACAGGTAATGTGGCAGTTGATGATGTAAACAGAAATAAGGGAGGTGTTATAAACATCGTTGCAAAGGCGTAGTACCAAAGGAGTTTTACTAGTAAAACATCAGTGATGCTACACTGCACCTCGTATAAACTTCTGCATAATCACTTAATAATCCTGGGTAGGTGGTGAGTGATCTAATACTGATGAAACATTTAAATTTAGCCAGTCTCATTTTCAAGACCTTTAAAACATCGAAACCTTCTGAAAGGTGATCTTGAGACCCATAACACTGGTAAATAACAATCAGTTGCACAAACCAATTTGTAAGAACAAGGTCTGAAGACTGTGATTTGTCATAAGGTACAAACAACATTTTCCAAAACTCTCTGAAAGATTTCATATGTGCAAGATAAAAACGAATAGCCCAGACAGGGCATAAAAATCATTACTCTGAAAGAGAATCGTGATCAGTAAGAGCAGGTAACACAGTACGCAAGAAACAATGGTTACCTTCTCTTTCAGCCCAAGTTTTAGGCAAGAAGGCTTGATCATAACATAAGGCCTTCAATGAAAATAATGTACATGAAGTGTCAAAGGTATAGCTATGAGAAAGTCTTCTGCCCAATGCAACTAGTAAAATATAATGGAGGAAAAAAAACTGCTATGTGTTGAAAAGGGAAAGAAGCCAAGACACACAAGACTAAACCTCAGTACCATTTAGGACAACATCTAGTAAACTGGAGTCTTTGAAAATGATAGGCTCAGAAAGGGTCTTTGAATAGTGAGAACAAACGAGATTGGTGGCTTCCACAGCATCTAAAGGTGACAGAAAAGGTAGTGCTGTACAGCAATAAAAAAGTTGATAAACCATGATCATCAGACAAATACTTAAGGAAAGAAGCAACTTATTGGGGAGTTAGAATTAAGCAAAATATAATATTTAATGAATCAACTCCAGAAAGTAGCCATTTGAGATTAAGAGACAACTAGGGAAGAGCATTGTTGAGGATGGGTTAACAGTTGAGGCACTTGGAAAAAGAGAATCTTGATTCTCATACAAAAACTGGATAATAATCAGCTGTGAAGCCATAGACCTACAATATCAAGTTGAAAAAATGGATATGCAAGGTTATCGTAAAAGATGTGGTGAAAATGTGACTGGTTCCTCATGAGAAGGTTGATTTAATTATGGAAACCATGGTTCAGCTTGCCACAGTAGAGTGATAATGAAAACCTGATACTTCAAGTAATTGATATCGGCAAGAACCCAAGAAAAAAAGTTGAGAGGAGAGCATACATAAAGGTTTAGATTCTCCAAAGATCAACTTAGGGTGTCCACTGCCAGGGAATTTGGATCTGGAATTGGAGACCAGCAGAGTGGAAGAAAATGAATGCTGAAAAAAGTGAAAGTAATGATCATTGGATGACCCCAAGAGTTCACATAACCACTGAAAATGAAAGAATGGAGGGTCCACACTATGGAGAGAAACTGATGATCTTGAGAGAGTCTACCAAATTTTTCATCACAACACAGGACATGTGACAGGATCAAAAGCAAACATGTTGAAAATCAAGCCAAAGAAGTCAAGGAACTGTAACAAAGCACAGGCTGCAAGAATAAGCCATGATTGCTGGTGTAAGCCACTACTGTAGCATTGTCTGTGTGAACCAACACAGAAACATGAGACAAGCAAGCTGAACAGCCCAAAGCTCTAACATGTTGATAGGAGTTATTGCTTCTTGAAGGTTTAAGAACTAGGATGATACTGATCCCCCAAAGTAGTGCCTGAAAGAAGGATCTGTGAAAAGATGAAGGTCTATAGGATGAGGAAGAAGAAGAGAACCTATTGTTGTAAAACTTTCAATTCAACCAACAGTGAAAAAATTTGAGAGTAACAGGAGAAATAGTTGCTCAGCATGACAATGGGTCTGAAATCAGACTCCACTTAGAAACAGGGTCCCATTGGAGGTGTTGCGTGTAATTGTGCCCCAAGCAAATGACTTTTTGAAGTGAAGCCATTGTTCCCAAAGCAGAAATGATGTCTTTAGTAGTAGATGCTGAGAATAGAAGAGTGTATATAAGAGGTTCTAAGGCATAAAATGCCATAGGAAATGGCTGAAGAGTTCATTGAATCATGGTGGTACAAACCCCAAATGTTTAGAGTATGGTGATTTAACTAGTTGTGTGGTCAACTGAGTGGACAAAAGGGTCAGAATAAGCCAATCATCTACTTAAAAGTGAAAAATCAATGTTATATGAATGGAAAAGCTGAATAAATTGTTGGTAGTACAGATGAAGAGAGATATCAAGATAAACATCAAATAGACATGATAAAGAAACTTTCATAACAACCTCATGTTTTTAATTTTGAAATGGTTTCTCCAGGTAAAGAATGAATTGAGACAAGTTTATGATAGATTTCTGAATCACAAAGAGAGTAAAACCTAAAGAAGCATGATAAAACAATATGACTGCTCCTTTCTGAAGGAGATTTGAGACTTACTGATCCAAAATTTGTAAGCAAATTGAATTGGAAGAGGAAAAGACAGTGACTGAACAGAAAGAGGGGTAAGGAGAGAAAAATTATGGTGAAGACCAGATTGAAGGTTCTATTACACTCAAGGATCCTGCAGATGAACAAATGAACCAAGACGACTCCCAAATAGTTTAGATGAGGTATTTATCTGGAACAGAAGAGTCAATTAGTAGATTGAGAAGACCCACCCTACTTATTTGTACATTTGGCAACTCTGTAAGGTCAGAAGGAAAGAGTAAAGGTACACCCAAATTAGTTCCTATTCAGGAAAAGCATGCCAGCAAGAGCTGGTGAGGGTTTTAGCATTTTGACTTTCTTCTCATCATCATTCGTTTTCAAGGTGCTCATCAAGTAATTCTCATCCTCCTGTTTTGCCTTCCTCATCCTCTTCTCAGTTCATGTTCTGAAATTCCTGTAATAATTGCACTGAAGAAGAAAGTCTCAAAATGAGACAAATCATATTGTGCAATACAGAAAACTGACAATGGATAAAAATAGAAGGCCATATGGAAGATCCCTACCGTAACCACTCTGAAAGTCAAGAAACTGAAAAGTAATATGACACTAGCACCCTCAAGCATAACAGATTTTGATTCAAACTAAAAACAGAATATACCTGATAAAAAAAAAAGAGATCAGGCCAGCAAAAGTTTCTTCAGGATTAGGACTAACTGAGAAATCCTGCTCTGCAAATAGGCATAAGCAAAAAAATTTATCTTGTTTAATAATTCATGGTGTAGCAAAGTTAAAAGCATGACTTATAACAAGAAAAATCTGAATTATAGCAGGAAAGCAGAGATCATTTATATTCTTCTGGCCCATGTACAGTATATCACATAGAAGATGGAAAAGTGGAGAAAACTCTTGGTAAGTTGATGCACAATCAACACTGTATCAAATACATCCAGAACATTAAGTCACATGATTGTTGACAGCATGCAAGTATATTCAACAGGGAAAGACTTTTAATATTTTGGATGCAAGTCTATCCAATTTCAACATATTAAAACATTCTTACTATTAAATTAACTTTTATTTCATATTAATTGAATGTTAACATTTATGATGATAGCAGCTCACAACAGTTCACTCTAATGACATTCTCAATTTTAATCAACAAACATTTCACTGTACACTGTTTTGAGAATTTGACAAACAGAAAAAAAAAAATTCTGCTGATCTAACTGGAAGAAACACTGTAAAAATAATTTTGAATTATTTCACAGATTAAACTATTCAATAAACTACCATACACAGATTTATTATATCACTAAACTTAACTGTAATTATGCTGTAACTAATGCATGATGTAATAATATACACTTGAATTTTCTAATAAAAATTTATATTCTCCAACATTTTGATTTTTTATTGCCTTTTCAATGACATTTTCAAAAGAGGAAAATGTATTTTAATAAATCGGTATTTTTTTTGTATTGAACCATTTATTTGTATACGAACACAAATAAAGAAAAGATCAAGGTATTGATTAGCTAAATGTGAAGATGAACAAAAATGTTTAAATATTTATAAGCTAATTTGTATTACCAATAATAAATTGTTTCTTTATATGCAGTATAAGATAGAAATGTTTATTAATAAAGTCAATTAATTGTATGAATTATTATTATTGGGATGTTTGAGCAGTTAAATACTTTCACGGATATGCTATTTCCCATAGAGTGTGATTACCATGAGCATGAAAAACCAAAATGAATTTCTTCTGAAGGCTCTCATTTACTATGTTGTGTTAAGTAAGTTAAAAAATATTCATCATATAAACATGAACATATATATACATCAAATTGCAATAAATTGTTAAGTGCTTTTTTTGGAACTTTATGCCTAAATGTATTGATCACTTTAATCAATAAGTATAGATATCAGGCAATCAATCCATTATAAAATATATCTGTTTTTCTACCTCAAGGCCATCTATGTAATTTACAAAGATTTCTCATCTTGGTAATGGTTAACATGTAGTCAAGGGTATATTTAATAATGATTGCTTTCCATTTTGTGAGAATGACACCTTGCAGTTCCCTACACATTCATATACTGGAAAATAATTAAATTAAGCAAAAGTTTTAAGAAAATTGGCATTGTTTTTTTTTCTCACTCTCAAAAAATTTATATAACATACTGAAGACATGTGCTTACAAACAAACAGAGGAAACACACAGTAAAATAAGTTAAAAAATATAATAAGTCATAGTACTGCACACACACATACATATGTAGTCATTACAATATAGGGAAACTGTTATCATCAGAAACATTAAATAACATAAACAGGTGTATTGAAATACTGGGAGATGTATAACTTGAATTTCCTTAAATCTTCAAATTTTCATTCCGGGAAAACAACAGCAGAAATATGGAAGAAATTTATAGTATAAATTTCTCACCGGTAATGACGTGGGCATTCGTTGATGAGACAAAGGGTCTAACCCAGGGGGTGCATGGTGAAGCCCATGTGTTGCTAACTTCGGGCCCTCTTCATTTTTTTCTTCTTCTCTTCTTTTTAAACAGGCTGCTTTGGGATTCAAGTTTCTCTCTGAAACAAAAACATAATAATAATTACACTAATGTAGCAATTAAAATTAGCATCTACAGCCTGTTTTATGCTAATACTAGCTAATATTTACTTTCAGTCTATTGTTATAGACCAAATCCTTACAATCTGTTCACACGATGTGGAATCTGTTTATCTACATATCCGGTTCCTGGATCAATATATTAATCAAATATTACACTTTAATTATTTAAATAATTTAGTGTTACCCACTCAGTCTACTAAAGTTACCATTTTATATCCATATTAGATTTTCATAGCAATATCTAACCTTATAATAATTTTCTAAAAGTTTGATACTTTCCTTCAATATCAGTAAAAACATATACAGTAACTGATTAGCTTTAGATAAATTCCTAGTAATTAGTTCAAACTGTTATTCTAACACTATTAACTTCTAAAAAAATTCTACTAATCTGCAAATAACTACAATCCAAACTAAGCTATTACTTTACTTTTGTACATATTTCACATGATTATTTTATTTCAGAAAAATCAACAAGATCTGAGCCAAAATATTTTTTCCTAAGCTTAATTCCCAAGTAATATGTAAACGTATATTGAACTTGTTAAATCTGAGACTAATTTTTCACATTATCATTTTCAGTTCCATCTACAATACACATTTATATATAACAACTTTAATATACCATATCCTTAAAAAAAAATAATACAATATAAATGTATTTGTATCTTTTTTTAAATGTTGTAAGAAATGTGCAGCAAAAAAGTTTACTCTCTATAAAAAAAAAACACAAAACAAAGTATGGCACTTATTTTGATATCAACTTTGGATATAAAATATCTTGCATATGAAACTAAATTTTTAGAGGATGATGATTTTTGGACTAATTCAGAATCACACAATACCCTCCAGTCAGTTTACAATAAACAAGTATGTTACTTCCTTTCTCTATTCGTAACCAGTGGTGGCTTTTATAACTGTAATTGCATTCGATTATGAAATATCTTCCAAACTATGTTGATGTATATCTGTGGTACCCTCTATAAACTAACCAACCATTAAAAGAAACTTAAACAGAAAAACTTCTTAACTAAAAGGGTTTTTCAAATATCAAACACACCTCTAACTTGTTGCTCTAAGCTTGTGATAAGTTCCACAGCTTGGTGAAGAATACCTAGTTTTGTCTGTGATTTTTCTGCTTTCATGTGCATCATACACATTCGACCCAGCTCTTTAAATGCTTCATTAATGTCTCGGACACGAATCCTGGTAACAGAAATATCAAATAAAACCTGCTATTTCTGGGTTTCATAACTCACAAATGTATAAATGCTAATCATTCAAAGTGCTGTCAATACATTAAAATCTATACAAGTTTCTACTTTAAACACTTAAAATACTTAAAGAACATATTAAAATGATTTATTGAACAAAGATAAGCTTTGAAATCATACACAAAACCAGAATCTAAATTTTCAAGCTTTGATTGTCAATGGATGTATGATAATTTAATGGACTATTTTTATCCTCTAAATAAATAAATTTTTTGATCCAAGAGACCTTACTCTGTAATAAAGGTAAGCTACAGTTATAAAATCTAAAACTTATGTAAACACTACACAAATTTGTCAAAAGAAGGTACTAGATGTAATAATTATACTATAATAGAACATTCATCAAAAGCTGTACAGATCTTAAATAGAAGTTTAGGTCTAACTGTCTCTTATGCACAATCCTGTTTTTAAAATTGATTTTTAAGAACAAAATTTAACTTGTTAAATATTATGCACTTAAATAGCCTATGAAACTGTTGTAAACACTACACAAATTTGTCAAAAGAAGGTACCAGATGTAATAATTATACTATAATAGAACATTCATCAAAAGCTGTACTGATCTTAAATAGAAGTTTGGGTCAAATCACATGGAAGATGACAAAAAAGTTGGTTTTCAGAGGTTCAGGTCCAGGTTTTACTGAACATTTTAAAATTAGTGGTTACTGCTTCGAGAAACAGTAAATGAAGAGTGGCTTTAACATCTTTTATAAAAAATTCAACTCGCAAGTGCTATAAAATTATAAATACTAAAATATTAATTAACATTTTTAATTTGCAATTATAAAATTAATCAACCTTTCTCTAGCATTATTAGCTTGTCTTCTTTCTTTCTCTCTTTCTGCCTTAATTTCTGGATCCTCATCATCATCTGCTGACCTATAGTAACAATAACCATAGTTTGAATACTTAGGAATGAAATCTTGAAAAACAAATCTTTATAGTGACAAAATTCAAGTAATAATGTTCATACTGAAAACTATGTTACTACAAAATATTAACATAATACTAATAACAATGTTTACATTAAAAGTATACTTGTGATAGTTGCGAGGTAACAACCACAAGAAATCTCGTATCTAACTGTAACCTTATTCTGTTTATAATAAAATCTTCATTTAAAGTTTTTAAGAGAAATTTTTAACTGAGAAAAACAAAACTTAACAAAATAAACGTTTGGGAAAATTCCACTATATATTTAATAGATGTAAGCACACTCATTCTTCTTCAAACAAGAGACAATTTAATATAAACTTTAGGTTAAACATAACAGTGTAGAATATTGCATAACCTGCAACAATTAATGAAAAATGTAAAACAGGTGAGAATTTATATCTGTTAAATAATTATAACTTACATATGATCAATTATAACAAAACTACATTTACAACCACACACACACGCATACTATATAATCAAATAACAACAAAAAGAGGAGGATAAATGTAAAGCTAACAAAGTCAAGTGAAAGGAATGAATTATTACAATTAAATATTATCAGTTCCTGACACAATATGTATAAGTAACTAAAACCCAATGCCAAAACAACCAAATTTTATTCCACAATTCATTAATTTGTATTCAAGCTGTGTATTTGGTCAGAACATTTGGTTTTAATGTACATATAGCTTCTTTTGTTCTCCTTCTTGAAGTATTTGGTTAATTTTTATCTTATTGGCCTTTGTCTCTGCAACAAAATTGGTGTATCAGTAAATAAAACCTCATTATTTAAGTTTAGGTATTGGTCTTTGGTCATAGTTTTAAAGGTTTTTAGTGGTTCTTTTTTTCTCCTCTTTTTGTTTTACAGTACAACTTTGTTGATGTTTCTTAGCAGTTTGAAATTTTTGGTCGACAGACAAAATAGGGGTAATCATTTTGACAAAAACAATGTGAAATATGTTCTAAGAAATTATTATCACAAAGACAGATGGTTCATGAGAAAAAAAGAGGTGTATAGGATGGTAAGTACCAAACTTTAAATAGTGATCTGCGTGTTGGTTTTCGATATATATACTTGTGAACAGTTTCTTATTACTAGAGTAACAAGGAAGGGAAGTTGATTATAATTTTCCTCCTCTGTTGTAACTGGATAAAAGGATGCTGGTTGTTTAGATTATCATAGAACACTTTCATAAAATACAAATTATTGTTCCAAGATATTGTCATAACCATAAGGAAGGTTTTAGAAGAAATGAGGCAACAGTAAATTCTTTTAGATCCTACAGATAGATTTGGCAAACAGAGGAAGAAAGACGGGAGAGCTCATTGGCTACCACCTAGCAAGTTGTGAAATTCACCTTACCAAGTAAAGTAAGAAGAAGAAAGACATATATTTAGAAGTAAGAAGAAAGGAAACATATATCTAAAAGTTTTATGAAAGAAAGATTTAAATAGAGTTGTTCACGATGTTACAGATGTGTCATCTTAAATTCTGGTAGGGATAACTCAAACAGAGGTTATCATCAGTAATCTCACATCATAGTTCTTGTATTATATCAGAAGAGTTTGTAAAATACAGTCTATATAGGCTTAGTAAGGGATAAGGTGCCAACACATCACTCCGATATTCTCAAAAAGCCTATAATGTCCACTGTCTTCTGATTTTTTCAAATAAACAGTTAACTTTCATGTAAGTCACTTGAATATTTTGTGTAGAAGAAAATGAATTTTCTTTTAGACCATCATCATGAATAAATATTAGACTCTGAATCTTATTATTTTATTTCCCTTCTTAGCAACGTAAGAAAATATACTTGTTTTAACCCAAACCAAAGGATAAAAATCAATCCATATTTTATGCTAAGTGCATTTCAATTTTATTTTCTAAAAATAATTAATGTAATACTGGCTACGCCCCTGGTTTGTATAGCCAGTAGGGAGAGTAAATTGGCAAAATGTTGAAATGTGCTACATTGAACTGACAGTGTAGCTCGCAGTATAAACAGTAAATCCTGTTTGAATAATCCATAAAGTCTAGGTGATCTAGCATTGTTGAAGTTAGCCCCAAAATATGTTTTGTTAAGAATAATAAACTGTTTCAAAATTGAAGCAGAAGAAATCAGTGTATGATACATATCATAATAACAGTCTTTAGAAAAT